AATTCTTTACCAAGAAATACGTTTATGATAAAATTTTGGAAAATGGGCGTGGCACCGCCCACTTGTGATTACATATATGTATCTCGCTAACCGTTCTAGCAATTTGTACCAAACTCGGTATTTTTATTGTGCATGCCACATAAAATCAAAACGTTGAAAATTATTGAAATCGGACTAAAATTTCGGCCGCTTTTCATATAACAATAAATTTCAGAAATGCTTGAAATTTCAATATGTCGAAATTTAAGGACGCTAATTTACTTAAAATGTATACACCCCGGCTTATCATGTAGCGGTAGCTTTCGGCAAGGTGGAAAACATATCTTTAATACTTGCGCCGGGTATTTAATGTTCGGCTCCGCCCGAACTTAGACTTTCTTACTTGTTCCCAATGTATTTTGTTTGTGTAAAATTATTTTATTATCGGTGTACCGAATTATCGTGAAGAAAGCTAGATAATTTATCTGGTAGTTGGTAAACTGCAATCAGCTGTTCGATATTTATTCAGTTTTAAATCCGCCCGCTGCAGAAAGGCTTAACGCAAATGGGTAAGTAAATTTTCTGTTGCGATTAATTTTTTTAGGAAAAAAGCTACGAATCCGCTGTTGATAAGCATAGTTTACCAGACTAACAAAAGAAAACTGAAAAGGACGTTCACAGTTGATACAAGAAACAAATAAAAGCAAACAAATAAAGCAACCCAAGTCGAATTACGCTTGTTTACGCTTCAACAGCTGTTTATTCATTTGACAGCTGTTATATTCTGCTAGTAAAAATTTTACTAGTTTTTTGGGTTAAGAAACGCTTTTCAGCAAAAACTAGTGATAATGATGATGATATCGGTAAAGAAACAGAGCCGATGCCGATGCCGATTAATCGGTCGGACTCTATTAAAAGCACGGTTGTATAACAAAACTAGATAAATGCATGGTTGTATTTTGGATAACGTTTTCCTGTAACAAATTTTTTACATACATATGTACATATGTAATTCGGTGAAATATCGGTAAAATCGTCATTGGCTAAAAAAAACTTCAAAATGAGGACGAAATCGTCAATTCGGCAACGCTGGTTGTAACCAACAAAAATATCGATTTAGTTTTTTGGCAGCCATCGATAATGTTTTATCTTTCTCATCCCAGTCTTTGTCTATTTTGATTTAGCGCCAAAGTCATTGGAGGAACCGGTTTCCGTTATATCGAAAGGAGCTGCATAATAAACATTTTTGTTTCAGTGTCACAATTTATAACCTCATATATTAGTTAAAAATTGCAATAGATGAGTACTCAAGCCATGCCAGACATAAAAGCACCCGTTGCACTTACACATGCTTCTTCAGAGAAGTTGTCGCGGCATGAAATGCTGCGTTGGATCAACACAACCGTGCAGGGAGAATACAAGAAAATTGAGGAGCTGTGCTCAGGTACTATAAAAAACGTAGGCAGGATTTAACATACACATTTCCCTAACCATAAACTCCTTTTCAAGGTGTCGCTTACTGCCAAATTATGGAAATGATCTTCCCACAATCGGTAGGACTTAAAAAAATCAAGATTAACGCAAAACTGGAGCATGAATATTTGCATAATCTTAAACTCTTCCAAGTGGCCTTCACACGCATAAACTATGAAAAGTCGGTGCCTATTGAACGCTTGGTAAAAGGTCGCTTTCAAGATAATTTCGAGTTCCTGCAGTGGTTCAAAAAGTTTTATGATGTACACGCGACCGATAAAGAAAACGTTAAAGCTCCAATTCCTCAACAACAGCAAACACACGCTAACACTAAGCCAATGAAAAAAGCGCTAGGCAAAGGCTTTTCTGCAATGACTCTTCCAACTTCGAATTCCACACAGTTCAAGGCAGAAGAAAATGACACTCCAAAAACTTTGAAAACTTTACGAGAAACCCGTGACAAACTCACGAAAGAGGTTGGTACTGAAGCAAAAACAAAAATATGGCAATTTATTTTGTTGTATAATGTGAATTAAAATGTATATTTCTATTAGACCGCGATTGTATTAAGCGAAAGAGATTACTATTGCAAGAAACTTCTTGATGTTGAAAAAGTGTAAGCTAAACCAAATTATATGAAAACTGTTCAACTTATCGGTTAAGTTAATATATATTTTCTTCCTTTCAGTTTGAGAGAGTTTACGGATCACAGCGAGTTGTGTGAACGTGCGTTAGATATTTTATATGCTGTTGATGACGAGGACCCAGGCAATGGAAATAATGAACTAGGCCGGGAATCGGCAGATTTATAATTTGGATAAGGCAAATATGGAAGGTTGTCTTTGTATACTGTTATTTTTAATACGACTTGTACTTATTTTATTTAATTTTGTTTTTATGTATTGAAATGTTATACAGATTTTACAACTTTAATATGATTAATTGCTGTCAATATAATGAATTTAATTACTATTATCCGTATCACTAAAACTATTATAATCACAGACCAAAGCCAAACTTTTTGGGAGATCTACAAGCGTAGCTTCGCGTATAACGGAGTTCGTTTTATCTATAACTGGAGGTACCAAAACCTCGATACCGTTATGATTCTGCACATCAGAAATTTTGCTTTTAGTACTGTCACCTGCCGGTTCGCTAGGGGTGTCCATAACTGGACATGTTTCTTTTTTCTTTTTAATACCTAAATCGTCAAATTGTAAATGTGTATTCAGTATTTTTTGCCTCTTCAGTCCACCGAATGTCGTTTTTGTGGCACCTGGTAATGCTGGTTTCATTAGAATGTCTAAACGTTTTTCAGCTTCCCTTTCTTGTGCCGACCTGCTTTGCAGCATCATCAACTCAGCCATTTGCTTGTCCTGTCCACATTCAGGAAGAAGCGCTATATCGAGGCTATTCCTTGCAAGTATTTGATCGTCTAGCTCTTTTTGCGCTTTAAGTTCTTTTTTCTTTACCTGAAAGGAATATTTCAATAGAATTACCACTGATTTTTGGATAATTATAATAAAACTTACTCGAAATTCAGCTCTTAAGCGACAATTTGCTTCATAGTTGTCATCCCAAACAGTTTTATTACGATCCACCAAACGCTCCAACACAGGTTTGGCATCTTCTCCAGCTTTTACATCTTTCGCCTGATGTTCCAGCTTGTACATAGCATCATCGAACAATCGCCTTTGCGTCTCTTTCGTCTCGGGTACAACCTGTTCATTTTGATGTGGATCCCAGCGGTTTTCTTGTCGACGTGCACCCGATAGTATCAAATAATCCAAATTCCCAGGGTCCGTTTGTATTTCGAAGTGATTATCGCACAAGTGGCATTTCATACGAAACTTATATATTGGCGTGGAGTAGTACATGCCCACTTTGGTTTTTTCCGCATTATAACGCACCCCCATGCCAATGTGATTCTTGCACCCGTCGCACCAAATGTTATATGGCATTTCAAAACGGATTATGATGATGCCCAGATGGATTTTCCGGGCACGCTCCCGGAGCGCATGGGTGCCTTGGAATTTATTGAGACCTCCCTTCTTCGGGTCATAGTCCGGCGGATAGTACTTATTTTGTCCTTTGCGTTCACCCATTTTGGATTCGAATTAATTTCAGACGGTTTATTTATAATTTTTCTATATTTTGGGATTTGTTTACGAATAAAACGTACGAGCACTTTCAGTAAATTCGATAACAAAATAAATTTGTTCACAATAGACGCCTTGAACAGCTGATTATGGTAAAAATTTGGGACAGGGTTGTATTGCTTTATAAAGTGATAGGGCACGGCGGTTGTTCGTTTGGTTAGCAATTAAAAAAAAANTGACGGTTTATTTATAATTTTTCTATATTTTGGGATTTGTTTACGAATAACACGTACGAGCACTTTCAGTAAATTCGATAACAAAATAAATTTGTTCACAATAGACGCCTTGAACAGCTGATTACGGTAAAAATTTGGGACAGGGTTGTATTGCTTTATAAAGTGATAGGGCACGGCGGCTTTCGTTTGGTTAGCAATTAAAAAAAAGGATCATAACAAGGCGTATTTAACAAGGTGGTGTTGGCCGTATATAATTTAAAAATTACACTAACAAATTATACGCTGATGTCCATATTGTCATTGGTATGAGTTACAAGAAACACATCGTTTTGACGTAATTGCCTTCACGGCGAAAAACTCAGCTGTCGCCCCAACACCACCTTGTTTAATACACCTTGGATCATAAAACAGGATTTAGCAGAAAAGCAGCTGTTTTGGATTTTTCCCATGCACTTGGTCTTCAAACACTTAAACCCAAATTCAATAAATATAAATCTTTAAATATAAATCAAAAATTTGTATGAAAATGTTAATTTCTATTTCAAAAAGGGCAACCAAATATATTGACTTCGCGTGTTTTTGTTTATGTTTTGATTATTTTTCTTTGCATATATTGTTATATAGTTTTATAGTAAATTTCTAAATTATTATAGTTCCAAAAAAGTTACGTTTAATTTCTTATGAAAGTTGGTTTACGGTGTTTTTACAAACAAATTTAATGCGTTGCAATGGCACCCTGTGACAGTAAACTTGAAAAGTCGTGGCAACTGGCTGTGTCCAATTGGTATCTGTCAGCGGAGAATTATCGCGTGTTTCTGCGATTTTAGATATTAAAAATTTCATATTTGATAAAAAATAAAATATGAAGATCTACACCAATGAAGGAAATCCCTTTGGACTTAAGCTACAACTGTTGGCGAAGTTTGCCAAGCAGCCAGTCGAAGTGGTCAATGTCACGTTAAATGGTGAGTGAATATAATGTGCATCGAGAGACCTTGCTGCACAAGTGCCACTCAGGCGCTGGTTAGTCACTCGGTAACATTCCAATGAATATGAAAGTAGACCCACCTAATTTGCAGTCTGATGCAATAATCACTATTATTTCTAGATACTGAATGCAAAGATTTTTTGGTGTTACCCACACTAGTATTAGAAAACGGTGTGAAACTATTTTCCACTGATGCGGTGGCAAAGTATCTATTCCCGGATGAGGGTGCCCTTAGAGATGAGGTGAGTATACAAACGCTCCGAAAAATTATATTTAATTAATAGCTTTTGTATCTTTACAGTGGTTAGAATGGTCAACTGTGAAACTGGCTCCCGCTCTGGCACAGCACCTTGCTGTCGGACATCGCGCCAATCCAGATGCCTTACCTGTGTTAAATATGTTAGTAAGAAAATTAGACGACCGCTTGGCAGAATCTCCTTTCCTAGTAGGTGATAAAATAACTTCTGCGGATATAGCAGTGTGGTCATTGTTAGCACCAGATGGCACGTTGAAGGGTGCTCTAAACATAGAACATCTGAAGGCTTGGTATCGCAAAATCTCTGCACTGGCTGCGGTCCAAGATGTCTTAACTGAAACTCCACTAGCGAAACTTACTTTTACGTCGCTGCAAAACTCCAATCGCTATGGTGGTCTAAACCACGTTCCAGTGCATCTGCATACATCGTCTGAATCAGAAAAACTCTTGGCCGAAACAAGTGGCAACTTGGCAGATACAGTCACAGAGGAGGAATTAAATACTGCAAAGAGAAATTTCGTACAAGTCGCCGTTCCTCAGCGTATAGAGCCCCGCACAGTACTGCCTAAATCGGGCGAACGTAATGTTCTGATAACATCCGCTTTACCATATGTAAACAATGTACCACATTTGGGTAACATTATCGGCTGTGTATTGTCTGCGGATATATTTGCAAGGTTGGTGCTGAAAACATTTTTATAAAATTTTTTTTGCCTATGATTTTTATTGCAGATATTCGCGTGCTGCGGGCTACAACACGTTGTATATATGCGGTACGGACGAGTACGGCACGGCTACAGAAAACAAGGCACTTGCCGAGAACCTTACGCCCAAGCAAATCTGTGACAAATACTTTGACCTCCATAATTCTATATACCGCTGGTTCGGTATTGGATTTGATTTCTTCGGTCGCACATCATCGTTGCAGCAAACTGAGTAAGATTCTGGTAACCCTAAATAATATATGCTATATACTATAAAAGGTCATTATTATAGAATCGTCCAAGAGGCTTTCAATGACGTCTACAAAAATGGCTACATTTTCACAGAAAGTGTAGAACAGCTTCTTTGTGTGAAATGCGACCGTTTCTTAGCTGATCGGTATGTAATCTGAGAAAGCCTGCAGTAAAAAAATAAGTTTTCATATACATTTTTAAATCGTTTTCCCAGTTTCGTTGAGGGTACATGTCCCCATTCTGGCTGTGGTTATGAAGATGCCCGTGGCGATCAATGCGATAAATGTGGCAAACTAGTTAACGCTACCGAACTGATCCGTCCCCGTTGTAAAATTTGCAATACTGCACCTATACTACGCTCCTCTGACCAACTTTTCCTCGATTTGCCCAAAGTTGAACCTCAACTCCGTGCGTGGATGGAAGGTTCCGAAATGGGTTGGACGAATAATGCGCGTGTCATTGCGCGTTCCTGGCTGCGTGAGGGCCTCAGGCCACGTTGTATTACACGTGACTTGAAATGGGGCATACCAGTGCCGCTTGCCGGCTTTGAAAAGAAAGTATTTTATGTGTGGTTCGATGCACCATACGGCTATATCTCGATGACTAAGCATTACACAAGTGAATACAAGCAGTGGTGGATACCATCGAATGATGTCAAAGTGGAGCTCTTCCAATTCATGGCCAAAGATAATGTGCCATTCCACTCGGTTATATTCCCTTCATCACTGTTGGCAACCAACAAAGGCCATACTATGGTAACCAATATTATGGCGACGGAATACTTGAATTACGAAGATGGCAAATTTAGTAAAAGTCGTGGCATTGGCGTATTCGGTAATGATGCACAGGTGAGATTAAGAGACATTTGTAAATAATGGAATCAAACGGTTGAATTTTGGTTTCACTTTAAAGGAAACTGGCATACCTGCTGATATATGGCGTTTCTACCTTGCTTGTGCGCGTCCCGAAGGACAAGATTCTAGCTTTAGTTGGAATGACTTAGCGGCGCGTAATAATTCCGACTTGCTAAACAATCTGGGCAATTTTGTAAATCGTGCGTTAGTCTTTTGCGAAAAGAACTTTGATGGCGTCATACAAGCCATGACCCTAACCAAGGACGAACTCGTACTTTTGGCACTTATAAATCGTGAAGTCCGTGCCTATGTAAACTCACTTGAAAAGGCCAAATTACGTGATGGCATTCGACATTTGCTTTCAATTTCTCGCCAAGGCAATGGTTATATGCAAGCGCAACAGCCGTGGGTGTTACTGAAAGGTACCGATGAGCAGAAGGCGCGTGCTGCCACCATCATTGGTGTTTGCGCCAATATTGCTGCAATTTTAGCTAATCTGCTATTCCCTTACATGCCGGCGACAGCGCGCACGCTTCTTACGCAATTAAATGCCAAGCAAACTCAGCTGAATCCGAGGTAAGTCAGAACAATAAACCCAGGTAAAACAACGATTAATATGTGTTTTCCAGACAACCGTTTATCAATATTCTGCTGCCTACTGGTCATAAAATTGGCAAACCAGCACCATTATTCACTAAATTGGAGCAAAGCTTCATTGATGAGCTGAAACAGAAATTCGGCGGGGTTCAGGATCAAAACATTGACAAGAAAGCGACACTTGTGGCAAACACTTCGAAGCCAGACACTGCCAAAGCTTCTCTAATCACCAATGGCACACAAACGATTGCACAGCTTGAGGAGGCTGTACGTTTGCAAGGTGAGAAAGTGCGTCAGTTAAAAGCTTCAACGAAAGACAAAAGTGTCTGGCAACCAGAAGTTAATATTTTGCTTGACCTCAAAAAGCAACTTACTGTTGCTCAAGCTGCGCCTCCAGTCACGAAAGCGGCGGTAGTACCACAAGCTAGCGATGCTAAAGTTAAGGAACTAGAACAACGAATAACGCAACAAGTGAGAATAGAAAATACGAAAAAAATTAGATGTATTTAATAACTTAATGCAATATATAAAACTTCCTTCTATTAAGGGCGAAAAGGTGCGTCAACTGAAAGCTGCAGGCGATGCCAGCGTGTGGAAACCCGAAGTTGATGTGCTATTGCAGATGAAAAAGGAACTGGCTACACTAACCGGTGCACCACAACCCACTGTCCAGGGGAAAAATAAAAAGAAAAAGTAAATTATCTGTACACAGTAGCAATAATACAACTCGCATCTCCCTCGATTGGAATATTTGATCTAAATTTGCAAGCTTTTGTATTTGCAAAGCCCAGCAACTCATTTTTGTACAGCAACATGCAAAGCGTTAAGTCGGAATTTCGCTCCTTGTCGCATTAAATTTAAGTCTATCTCATTTTGCCCATATTAAGTCATATATTTGCGCATATTTGACTGTAATGTTATCTCAATTACGCTTTTAACTGAAGGCTATATAACTCGCATGGTTGCTTTTCTTTGATATTTTTAATTTTAATGCTAATTAATTTATTGAATTATGCTGGTTATGTAAGGTATTTAATTTAATTGAATATTGGTTAGACAGTGTACGCTACATACATACATATTAACAATAAAATATCAAAAATCGCTTCGAAGTATCGTTCATAATAAATGTGTTGTACCTCTTTACTTAAGAAACCATTATGTAATATTAAAACAATAACACAAAAATAAAAGATTTATTTCCAGAATCAAAATGATACGTGTAATGTAATAGGCGTATCTTTTTCTTTTTCCGGGTAATAAAAAACCTATTCTCTCATTGAAATCTGTAGGGCACTGAGGATCACTCCCACTCTGATCTCAATTAGCGTTATCCTTAGCGCGGTCAATTTTCCCTGTAATATCGCCTGGCGTAACGCGAGTTGCTGACAGACTCAGGTCCACTGCGTGCTAAACTATCTCAGTGCCATTTTCACAAATAGCTTTTAAAATCTATCTGACCTTCAAACTCAACTGTCATAAGTTTCGGCTTTGAGGTCTGACCAGAGACTTGATTCTGGTACCACGGGGAACATAATGGCCCCGAAGTGTGCTCGCGAGCGAGACGAGTAAGATGAGCACGAGCAAGATGGAGACGGTGTGTGTAAATTGAGCAACTCGCGCAATCACTCTTAGTCCGCGGAGTCTGCTCACGAGCAATATGAGTAAGACGAGCGAGATGACCAAGACGGCCAGGATGGATGGAAACAACCGTGTGTGCAAGTTGAGAATGTCGAGCGACTCAAGCCTGTTCTCGGGTACGGCCCTTCGGGGAGTATCGTGGTGGCTGTGGTTTAACACCCAAATGCGGGTAGAACCGGCCTTGGTTGGTTCGATTTGGAGTTTCATTCCAACCGGGTGTCGGAACCCAAAGAACGGCAAAGGCTTTATGTAGGCTTCCTACCTTACCAAAGTGGGTAGTGTGTCCAACACACACTGCCAATTCCCAGTAGATAATTTCAGGAGTTAAGAGGCCTTCCAATTTACATTCCTTTCTCCTTTCTATTTTGCATGGAGTGGCACAAATTGAAGGGCTTCTTCTTTCGCTACCAATGGAAGGTCTTCCAAAAGGTCTTTTATAGGACATACTTCAGAAGGCCTTTTGGAAGAGTTCTTTTAAAATTGCTTCTTTAATTTATAAAAATCATACATCTTTAGAGTATTTGCTTAAGGTTTATATCGAATATGTGTTATTGCAACTTAAAATGTTTATTGAAACTCCTTTGTAATGTATTCGCGTAAATTGTAAATGGATAAGTCCTTCTACAAGGCATGCAAGGAAGCACTTTTTTAGCCCTTCTTGGGTAGGTCTCTTAGAATGTGTTTAGAAGAAGAAGGCCTACCTAAATTATCTTCTGGGTTGGTACTGAAGTCCTTGCATTTCAGGGCGCTGATCAACGCATTAGAATTGATCCGTTGTGCCACGTTAAACAGCCACACAACTGTACTTCAAACAAATTTGTTTTTAAAGGGCAGATAAATTTTAAGAGCTACTTGAGTAAACGAATCTTAAGTTTTACACAGTCTCCTTCGTTACACACCATTTGGCATCTAGACTGACTATCCGTATCGCTTCGCCCACTCATATCCTCTTAAGGAATGAGTTGGATATTTATAGTATCTGGAATTAAAGCCAGTGAGAAGAACACCTGAAGACTTAGAACTTCGACCCTGGTGTGAGCAGTACTCCCACTACTAAATTAGGTTAGGTTGAAATGGCTACTAGTGACCCCACTAACACACCTAGGCCCTTATTGCGCCCACGCGGAACGTTAGAATCCTCCTAACCAAACCATTGTGTGGAATATGCGAAACACCAAAGTTTCTCAAATAAATTCTGAACCCATGAACTTACGTCTTTTATTGCAAAGTGCGGGATAATCGTATAGCAGGCGCCGCAAGGTTTCTGGCTCTTCTTCATCTCCTCAGTTTGCCTTCCGATGGCAACATGGCCTGTTAGCAGGTCCATAGCTGTGGCTAAGTCCCCTCGGCTTAAGATCAGGACACCCTTCAAACGCTCCTCGTTCCATTTTGTCCACATAAGTGTTGTATTGTTGCAAGTGGTTAGACTAGACCACCTTTCTACTGCACATCCCTTAGAAACTGCTTGCAGTTAGCGAGCAGCTTGCTTAAACCATACCAGGACTGCGAAAGGGAAACGGATGTTCAAGTTTTCGTTGCCTCCTATGTTCTTTGCCCCAGCATCCATACCAAGTGAAGGGCATACTGCTCGTTTAGAAGGTCATTTCAAACTTACTTCCTATAGGCCTTTATATAATATTAATTTCTTCGGTATCTGCTGTACGACTCAGAGAACTGTGTTTTGGGAAAGAAAGCACGATCGGGCATAGTATTTGGTGTCTACATTGCCTTCCAGGATAAAACAGGACACCGATTATCCACGACCTAAAATTGAATTTCACATGCCTTTCGGAGTCCTGCTATTCACAGCCAAATGGAACAGAGAATTCGATACAAGTATACACCAATTGCTCCAAAACGGAAAGCGGAGCTAGAGCAGGCGTTTTCTATGGTACTTGAGGGAAAGAAGATCAATCGTGTACGCTATTGTCGAAAGTTGCTGCCTATTGATGTTTATGTCACCATCAATGCGAGCAGGGCAACATTTTCGCGGACATTCGGGAGCCTTGACGTCCATTACAACAAAGTCAAAGTTAGTTAAGAATTCGTTGAATAGAGTTACATATAAGTCATAGTATGGCAGGCTGAGGCTGCTGATGAGTTAGTTAGGAGGGTCCACTCTGAGTTAAATCGAGGATCGGATCTCACCCCCAGTTAGAATAATATTACACTATGGTATGTGCTTTCTTTCTGTACCTCAAGTGGATTTTTAATATAATGATCGATGGGTAGACCACACAAAAACCTCACAAAAAGGTGAAGGGGCAGAAAGGACGAATGTATGGTAGGTTTCTGAACATTGCGATTAATGGACGAACACCTTTTGCTAGGAACTGACATTGATTGTTGTTATTTGACAACAATGGCCCCACCAAAAGCCTCCACACTCCTATTCTATATCACTGAATCCATCGTAGTCCGATTTTTCGTGAAATCTACGAAAATGCTATCACTGAATCAGAATAGCTACTGCCGTAACATATATAGCCGTCCTGAAATGGCCCAATAATTCAGGTTTAAGTTTGAAATACCCGAAGTCTGGATTGTCGGCGTGGTCTACGAGCACTTGCCACGGCCACTTCAAGGCACTGCCCGCTGACCAAGCAATGGAAGTCGGTAAACAGCTGGTAGCAGGAGAAACCGTACTGCTGTCCAATCTTTTCGACACGGAAATTGAAACTTTCTACCGATATACCTTTGAAAGACCGTCAAATTTAGTGAGCAACTATTCTAAATTAATCCCAAGAGTAAGTGTCATCTTTGCATCTTCTTCGTGTTCCGCATTCGTCTGTCTGTAGGTTTTCACTCCTTGCTTGGGGCGTAGATGCTGTGGTAGGCTGGTGGCGCGTACTGAAGTTTCAACTTCAGCCCCCCTGTGGTTCAGGCGCAACACATTGTATCCCACGTGATGAACCTCGTTCATGCACGAAGCCATCATGTCACCATCAAACGTTCAACTCTTTGTTTTATGGGACAGACACCTTCATAACACTGAGTAATCACATGAAAATCATTACAGCCGGCGAATAACATCGATTCGTTCATTGAGTTGAGTTGAAAGGTATTTTAAGTTTAGATTAAATTTATTACATTCGTTAGAAATAAGTATGTACATACATACAATACATTTTTACAACTAAATAATTATTTATATTTATTTTATTTAATAATTATAATTAATTATAAATATTTATAACAAGTTTACTGATACAAAATTTTAAAAACAATTCGGAAAGTTTCTTAAGAGGTCTAATAATATTATAAATTATGTATTCTAGAATTTTTTTTCATTTTACTTTAAATATATACTCTACCTATGTACATATGTACGAACATAAGTACATATGTATGTGTATTAAATTTTATGATTAGTACAACTGCAATAAATACACATAGTTAATTTAAAAGCTTAATAAATAATACATTACAGTATTCATTCGATTTTATTTCCTTGCTTTAACATAATTTTTTGTAGTTAATTATTTACTCCTTATTTACAACTATTCACTTAACGACTAGCGCTCTTATTGCAAATTACAAAATTGTATCAAAACTTCATTTGTTTCAGAAGTTTTTGTTAATACGCATGTACTTATGTAGTAAATACATACATACATAAGGGCGCTGTTCACACTGAGGTAATCACACCAGGACAAATTTTATTTTCGTGAACTTACGAACTTATTTAGTCTGCAACGAATAGTACTACCCTCCGCAGAGGCCATCTTGTCTAGGAGTCGATATTTAAGGCAGAAATTCCTCAAGCGTGAACAGACTGAATAAATACTACATCCAAAAAGGTATATATATATATATAACTCTCCGTCCATTACTTATTACTATTTCATATAGTAGCTACTTGGCGCTCTTCCTGACGTGTAAGTACTCATTGGTATGCCTTGTGGTCCTGGTACATGATTATTGCCGATGTGCGAATGTGAGTGCGTATGTGAGTGTGACGATGACTGATTCTGTGAACCATACAAATGATCCACGCTGGTATTGCCAATGCCATTACCTGATGGCTCATAGTCTACATCATAGTAGATGCCCGATTGATTCTGTCGGAAATGAATTATAGATTTTGAATATTAAGAATTATAAATTTGTGTAAAGCGGAACTGAACTAAACTAGAAAAAGGTTATGTGTGGATCCCACGCTCGACTGAAGTGAAACTTCTTATTCCTATTACCTGTATAGCTCCCCATATTATATATGTATTTTTCAGCATAGCAATGATTTTCTTATTCTCAATCTCAGTAACAATCCTAATATAGATCTTAACCTTAATCTTAATCCTCCTTAATTTTAATTTTAATTTTAATTTTAATTTCAATCTTCAACTTCATCTTCATCTTNGTTTTTCAGCATAGCAATGAAATATTTTCTTATTCTCAATCTCAGTAACAATCCTAATATAGACCTTAACTTTAATCTTAATCCTCCTTAATTTTAATTTTAATTTTAATTTCAATCTTCAACTTCATCTTCATCTTCATCTTCATCGTCATCTTCATCGTCATCTTCATCTTCATCTTCATCTTCATCTTCATCTTCATCTTCATCTTCATCACGATCGATTTTTCTTTGTCGCAATTACACCCAACCGAGCGCAAAGACATCTCACTTCAGATACCTCAAACACTTTAAAAAATCAAAAACTTTCAAAATTTTTAAGATGAAGATTGTCGATTTTTGGATTTTTATAACCTTTACGCATTTAACGGTATCCCAATAACATTTTCTCGCAATTGTGATAAACAAATTATTTATTGAAATATGAATTACATTTCATGTAATCTACCTCGTGTCTTTTAAACTTACCGCTATGCTGCCATTGCTTCTACTCTTTGGTCGTGGTACTTGAAAATTTCGCCCGAGCAGATCGGTTCGATCCTCCTCTTCACTTGAGCTAGAGTTCTCCAGCGTTCGCATTCCATTTGAGCGCGAACTCAACCCCAGCCTTCTGGAAAAGAACATAATGGTTATAAGCGTATTGGCATTGGAATAGAAGAGGAACAACTTTTTATTTGTATTTGAGGAATTGTCTGAGGGGTATACGCACTCATACCGTGGCAGAGGAACCGGTGGTGCCATGCTGCCCGACTGATGCATCTGCATGGTGCTCTGCATGGACATGCCGCCCATTGCGCCTATGCCCATTGCCTGTAGATTTGGATAAGCGAACATTGCTGAAGATGGACGTGTGGGTCCGACTGGTTCGGCCTGTTAGAAAATGTTTGACTTAAAATGCGTTGAAGACGTGTATATAAAGTGTGCTATTACAGAGTTACTTTTACCCTCGTTTTTGACTCTGTAACGTCTCTTCGTTATACTCACAATCGGACTTACCCCGTAATGGTTTGTTTGTGCCATTACATCTGCGATTTGCGCCCAGCGCATGCGATCTTCCAATGTCACTTGGTAGCCCGGTTGCCCTGGTAGGCCTGCTGATTTCATCGGCGCCGTATTCATATATCCAAAGACTGGTGAACCTATAGCGTTTTTTTGTTCACGCTGCCAACGACGCGACCACATTATTAGACAGACCAATGTTAGTACGATGATAACAACAGCTGCTAAGGAGGCACCAATTGCCACACCCAGCACTTCGCCATCGATCTCGCATTGACCACCATAGTGGCTGGAATCACAAGCGCAAACTTGATTGCCTTCTTCGTTGTAACTGCAAGTGCCGCGATTGTTACAGTACGAGTCCGGACACGATTGACAGTCGCGACCGGCGCGCTGTGGTTGATCGGCCCACGGATCACGGAGTCCCGTCTCACAGACGCAGCGGAAAGTACCCCACGAATTGGAGCAGATGGCGCTAGCGTGGCAATCATTTAACTCGCGTGATTGACATTCGTCCAGATCGTGCAAAGCAGTGATGGCGCCTTCCGGTGACGCAACATAAAGTACAGAGTTGCCGATGTTATTGTTGCGTCGGTGGAGTACGCCGAGCAAGTGTTTTTGTACATCAGCGCGCAAGTTGGGCCGAAGTGTTTCAACACTTTCGTCAAGCTGAAAAAGATGGAGTAAAGTATTAGTTGCTGAATGCCAATGAAAGCTCATCACTATTTATTTGGGTACTTTGATCGTCATGTTGACAAACACGCCACTGCCACCCAGATTTGGATCACCGCGGTAAATATTGTTCACGCGCGCATCCAAGAACTCATCCGAATAGGGGGTCATCGACATGGCGGAGTCGATCTATATAAATGGAGAATAGCATAAATTTCCTATGAGTATTTTAAACATTTTACTCACCGCGCGTATTGACTCATAGCTCAGCTGTCCATAAGGTTCGCTATGTTTATCCAACAACTTATTGTCCCACACAATGCGATGCTCATAAATACGATCCACACGCATGCCCAGGTAGAAAGAGATGACTTTTCGGCAAGGTTCCCGATGTTTGCGACGTGAGTAGCCTAAAAAACAATGCTTCCATGAATGAAGGTGACCAAAACTCTTACCCAAAAACAACTTACCCGGTCGACAGTGGCAACTCGAGACACCATTCTCTGTCTTGCAGCGCTCGTGTTGCGCTTGGTCACATGTCGAGTCGTCGCCCACAATGCAAGTGTCTATTCGCACCGGCGGCTGTGTCGGACGTGTGCGATAGTGTGGTCTCGTTGGTCCAGCATTGGTTGTGGGGGATTGTGTTTTCACACTATTTGACTTCGTCGTTTCTAAATCTACAACTTCCGTCTCAGGTATGCCGTATCCAGGCCCCAGGCTGGGTCGATTGTTCTGTGTGACTGCGCTACTACCACCATTTCCACTGCTACCAATGCCGCTGCCACCACCAGTTCCGCCGCTTGTTGTCCCGCCGATACCGGGTAATTGTGGTATGGCCGTTGCTGGCGTGGTGGCTACTCCAACGGGCGCATCTGTTGGATCACCAAAGAGATTGATGTAAGTACGCTTACCATCGATTGAAACAAAACCATCATCACCTGCTGCAGACACTATTATGTCGGCTTGATGACCACCACTGCTGCCATAGGAGCCGTAGGGTTTGATGTTGATTGTTTGCTGTGAACCACCTACCGACCCAGGTCCTTGAATCGCCGACAGCGTAACATCGAATATTTCGCCATAACCAGGCGGCAAATGTCGGGTAGGTTGAATCTGAACTGATGGTTGGTGTTGCGAATCTATGGGACGGGATTGTTGGGGTCGATGGGGTCGGGGACGTCCACCTGGTTTGAATTCAGGGTCATCAAGTACAATGCCTGGACGCGGTTGGTAGTCACTTGGTGGTTGTGGTAATGGTGTTGGGGTGGTGTTAGCAGAGTTTGCCACTGGTGTGGTGACAGAATTGGAATTGGTTGTGGTAGTGAAAATTCTGGTGGTGGTGGTGGTGGTAGTGGAATGTGGTGTGGGGGTGGTGTCTGATGGAGCGGGTGCAATAGTAGCCAGCAGTTCAGTGGTACGTGTTGGGCTCAGCACATTCGAATTTGTGATGGTGTCTGGCAGCGCTGTCGTTACGATTGAACTCTGCGTAGTTATTAGAGTAGGCAAACTTGTATCAGCATTTTTAGAGCTGCTTTCCAGTGCGGGTGTCTTGCTTGGCGTCATGAAAATTACCTCTTCTGTGGATGGATCGAGATCCACACCACTGCTATTCTCCATTGGCATTGGCACATACGAGGAAGACATTTGCATTTCTGTGCGGATAACAGAGCTAGTTTCAATTATTGTTGAAGAATCGTCTTGAGCGTGTTTCTTTTTATCAGTGGACTTGTTCTTTGTGGGTTTTTTCTTGGTGGCGGAGTCCTCTTTCTTCACAGGTGGCGGAGATGCTTGGGCAGGTGCAGATACTTCCTCTTCTATTTCGCCAGTATCCGCTGTCAAAGGAACAGTGTCCGCTGTTTCGTTAGAGTCTTGGTCGGATACCTCAATATATTGTGAATTTGTGTCTTCATTTGAAAACTCAGAATCATAGGTTGTATCAGTTGGTTTAGCTGTGTCCCCATTTGCATCATTGTAGTCCGGTGGCACAGAAATTTCAGTCTCGCCGGAATGCTGATTTGCCGGCGGCGTCTCTGGTGTTGCTTTAGCCGGCGCAGGAGACTCTTCTGGAGCAGGTGGCGCCAATTGTGAAGTTGGCAATGGTTTATACTGTGGAATCGGGCGCCTACCACCGATAGCTGTAGTAATCGGAGGCCGCGGTTTTTGTCGATGCCACGGTGGTCGTTGACTAATAAAACCTGGACGCAATGGAACAATTTGTTCCGGTATTGGCACACCTGTAATGAACGGCCGCTCGGGGCGATCAAATGGACCCGTGTACGGTGGCGGGCGTATGGATGAGCCCAGCGGTTTCTTTTGCGTATCATACTCGATCGGCAAAGTTTGTACATCAGAGATGCGTGGTGGTCCGCGATTATTGATGCGACTGGCAGACGGACGGCGAAGTCCCTGTGTATTTGCATGGACATTTACATTGCCATTCAAAAGCTTCACAATGCCTGTTATAATGTCTTGTATGTCAGGGTTGGAGTTTTGACGCGGATTATGTGGCGAGGCCGTGGCAGTGGCCGCCGTCGAGGTAGCAATACTGCGCGTCGGATTGATCGGGGACCCCGACATAAGCGGTCGCAGGTCCCCTTTCGCTAAAAAAGACTCCGATGCTACAGCTGTTTCTGGCATGGATGTGGCCGCAATGCCACTAAAAGATGGCTTAAATGTTTTGCCTGCGCGTGCGCGTTGTGTGCGTTCAGGTGCCTCAGAGGCGGCATCATTGAGGGTGCCTGTGGGTTTAATATTATACTGAAAGTAGCGACCAGCGCCTGCTTCTTTATCTGCATCGCTAGGAAAGTGCACATCATTCGGACCTGATTTTGGATAATTGTCATTCAATATGGGTAGTGCAGATCGTTCCATACGTAAATGCTGGCGTGTTTCGTTATCTTCTTGACCCGGGCTATCATCAGTCGGCAGTATACTATCAGCTGTGGATGTATCTGCAAGTGTGCTCTCGAGTACTAAGTTCGATGTGATGGGCAAGATAGACACAGCGGCAGACATTAACGGACTGATAGATTTCGGTGATATCTGTGATATGGAGGGATGCGCATACTCGTCCTGCAGGCACTCTGGAAGTGAATAAAAGAAAAAAAAATGGCCTTGGTTAGAATATAATAGTGAAAGATAGCAGTAATTCGAAATGATGAAGAATATGCATGGGTATGTAGGTAAGAAGTCTCTACTTAAATATGGATTATTACAAAACGTTGGTACAAGTGTGCATAATGAAAGTAATAAACAAACTTTTAACTACTTTCATATAAACACAAAACGGTATGCTCTTTTGTAATACTTGTCTAATAAAGCTCTACACAATTTCAATTAGCACATTTTAAATATTGTTGCGCAAAACTAGTTAGTTAAGAAAAAAAAAAAACTTAGCTTTTAAGAGCACAATTTAATCGCGGGAGAAGACAACAATAACTTTTTTTCACGTAGTTAGCTAATCACTAGTGGAGTTGTTAGCGGCAACCTGGGCAATTAAATGCATACAGCTACTTAAAATGCAAATTAGAGTGCATAGCTACATTTAAATGTAGCTCTATATGAAAACTAGTCTGATCCGGACTACTTCTCCAAGGCGATTTCATAAAAGTTGGCCGAAAATCCGCCTGTTTAGAATTTTGATTGGTCCATTATGCTCTAAAAAATATTTGTGTGAAATGTGAAAATTTTTGGTCATTATCCTAGGCTCGCCCAAGTCCATCAAAGTTCAAGTACTAAACAAATTTGTTTCTTAGCTAACTTCGATTCTCTACAAAAAAGGTCTATATACGAAATTATGTAGGACTAATACTTTAGAAGATTATTGCAATTTATNTATTTGCTTCTTAGCTAACTTCGATTCTCTACAAAAAAGGTCCATATACGAAATTATGTAGGACTAATACTTTAGAAGATTATTGCAATTTATTTATTAGTTTTTATTTTTTGAGCATATTGAACTTTGATGGAGTTGGGCGAGCCTAGGATATTGACCAAATAATTCCAAATTTCACACAGATATTTTTTAAACCATAATGAACCATATTTTTGCTATTACCAATCAACATTCTAAAAAAGCGGATTTTCGGCCCACGCTAATGATCGTCTAATCTTCCCAATGAAAAATATGAAAATAGTCCCCAAACTCAACCCAAAAAATCCATTGCAAGCTCCATGTAGTTATCTAAAAGTTATAGGGGCCTTATCTATGAAATTTAAAACCAGTTTTAAACGATTTTTTGTATACGTGGAATATAATTATGCACAAGAACTGGTCTAGGTTTAAGTTCACTAAGAAGCGTACCATTTCAGGAGCATGTGACTTTTCTTTGGGGTAAAAGCTGCCGATCTCGCCATCGGAGCACTGGAACATAAAGAAGGCTGATGTTGCGTTCGAATTAGCAAACAGAATGAAACATTTCAATTGATAATGATTTACATTAAGATTTGGCACAATACATGCTTTTGAATAAATTATCCTAGTTGATTGAAATAAACAGCATAATAATTTTGTACGATTTATGTGTAAATAGCAAATGCCTAGCGTACTTTGCGATGCATAGTGGTCGGAGAAGCCAAGTTTTACGCGAGAAAGGCATATTTTAAAACCTGCGATAAATAGACTTCGGATTTTTATGAGAAAAAATATGTAACACTTAACTATAAACAAATGGTTTACAAATTTATACACTTTGTTTATAACTATATGGTACATATTTCTAGACTCTGTATTTTGCACAAAAATCCGCAATCCAGTGATAAATTAGCCGGAATAAAGCTATTCTTATTCATAAATGTTGAATGAAATCAAAACTGATATGTATTTTCAATAATATCTGCTCAACAAGCCGTTGAATCCGTTTAATTCAACGAATTCGATGGTGGCACGTTCTAACAGTTATGAGTTGATAGCTTTCTTAACAATTTTTTGTGGAAACTTGCAATTATGGTCCGAGAGGCGAGCGACAAGGCATTGCAAGCATTTTATAAAAGCTGAATTTTTGACATAATGCCACACTTGCGGTGTAGAGAAATAGCCTCCCGTCAGTCAGTCTAGTTCGTTAGCGTTGGCGCGGGGTGACTTAAATTTTGTATAGAAGCTCTAACTCTTGTAACTATTTATTTTACAAAATCGGAAAAATTTATAGCGAACAGTATATTTATTAAAAAGTAGTATGAAATTAGTCAAAATGGAAAAAATGGAAAAAGAAAATTTTGACCACCCTAATGTGCACATGTTAATATATTATTCTACTTTAGTTTGTCTATGGCCACAAATAAGCAGTTTCATTTTAATGAAGTTATTTCGTTAGCAAGTAAGTACTATACAAGTAGGTACTCCATACTCATATCCAAGCTGTAAACAAAAGATTACAGTAACGAACCTGACACTTGCATTTTATTACCTTCCTGACTTATTCTAAGCTCTTGAACTTGAAAACTCGGCTCACATTTTGGCTTTCAATACTGTATTTCAAGGAAAAAGCATTGCCATCAAGTACATTTTTTAGCAATGTTAGTAACTTGTTGCCATCACTACCTTGAATGTTATATGAAAAATGAAAATTAATACATATTGTCGCATTTATGTGTTTAGCAACACTCTGAAGATTTCATTGTAATTTAAAACAGTACACAAACTCCGTATCGGGTTAAAGTGAAATTTAATGTGGAATAAGAAAATAAAAAAAAGAACAGTATCATTCGTATTGGTACTCATTTATTTGCTTATTTGCAATTTCATACTACATTTTTTTGCGCATTGTTTCAGACACAGAAGCATATCTATGTAAATGCATATGTGTGCGTAAGTAAGTACGTGTTTGTTGGCAACAAGACGACGGCTTCTCTCTCTTAGTGATACCGATCTGTGGCATCAAGGTAGCTTAGTGATTCTGGCAGCAATATCAACTAGCGTAGAAAATAAGATTACCAACTTCTTTGAATGTCTGACTGTCTGACTGTCTGTCTGTCTGTTTGTCTTCCTATGTATTTGAAGTTTAGCTTTAGTGCACGCCCAATTGTTTACCGCAGCTCATCTATTTATTGCCACTGCTCTAGAGTAATGTGGTATGGAAATATATACATATGTAAGTATGTACATTTGCATACACTTTGGAATTAAAGAACCTGAAAGACTAAGAAAAAAATAAAATAAAATAAAGTAAAAGTGTTAATAAAAATCTGCGCACGCGTGATGGTACAAAAACGTGAGCCTGCATATGTACATACATACATATACTATATGTATGCATTATCGCTTCGAAGTGAATTTGTAAAACAAAACCATATAACTTAAGTATGCGAGGAATAAGCAATAGCAATAACAATAAAAAGCTAATCTTGTTGCAGACCAGGCAAGTGTAAAGATTTCGCTATGAGGAAAGTGTAAATTGATGCAGGTACATGGGTAAGTGAAATGCGTAGAATGAATTTACTTTCTAACTACTTGTAGAAGCTATTTATATCGCACGTAAATTGAAACCTTAGCAAGCATTGGCTAAAGTACAACTACATTGCTGCCATAAAAAATAGCGCACCAAAAGAGGAAGAGTGGAAATGTCTACATCGAAAAAGGGGTAAAGATATTAATTAATAGGTACAAATTTTTAAAACGTTAAACCTAACTATTTATAGTGTAGATAAAAACGGTATAAACGGGGGTTGGGTAGGAAGACTCATTGAGCGTTGGCAAAACATAGGGAATAATGTGCGGGATTTGGTAATGGTCTGCGACAATGCCCAATGTCACTCTTCGATAGAAAGGAAAGTGGCAGACAATTCGGAAGGAGAAGCCACAGTTTTGTCTCTAGGTCCCTATTTTCCAACGTTAAATCGAATATAGAACATTTGGGCTAAAGATAAATGGAAGTAAAAGCGAACCTGCGTGTGCCAAATGTTCATCCCTCCGGACTTTGCGAACAGAGATTACAGTATTTGGAAATAGTTATAGATAACGCGAAAATAACAATAACTGGAGGAGATTTCGCAAGGGCTGTACAGCACTCAACTAATTTTCATACAGACACACTTGCATTAAATAATATGCATGTTGGGGTGTAATGTTCCTTGGTCACATCTTTGTTTACTTAAGTTGATAAATGGTGTTTTTAATAAAATTTGATTTTCAGTACCCTACAAAATCTCATTTCAAATTTATATTATCTCATTTTGAATCTATTTTTTTTTTCATTTTGAATTTACTCTTTCTTATTTTGAATTTTCACATTCTCAATATGAATTTACATCTCTCAATATCAAGTTATAAATTCCCAATTCAATTTTACGCTTTCTCATTTGGATTTGTACTTTCTCATTTTGAACTTACGCTGCTCAATTTCAATTAACACAATTTCATTTCAATTTACATTTTCTCAATATAATCTTACATTTTCTCATTACGAACTTGAAAAGGTGTAGAAAGACCTATTCTTTCTCATGGTACTTCCCAAACATGAGGAAATCGAATTGAGTGCATCTAGAGACAATTACCCAATTATATTGCACTGAGGATCTTTGAAGTAACTTCATAATTTCAGACTACGGAAAAAACTGTCTGAGTGCAAAATATATGATACGAAAGCAGTTTGATAAGTCAGTGACTTTTTAAATATGTATGTTTTTTATAGTCGCTTTTCATTTAAAAGAGCTACATTTATTCTCAAAAGGTGATAAAAAACAATTTATTCCAGTGGTGAGCTCTTCATTCGACTCAAATCTCAATCTCTTACCACGTAGCTATTTCTTCAGAGACTGAAATAGAGAATGGTCCGATTACGCCGAATCGCGAGAATTTCTTCTCAATTCAGTAAATGAGATATAATACAAAGAAAAAGTAAAAAAATGAATATTAGAATTAGATATGGTAGAAAATATGTTGATGATGCTTTTCCAGCCAAAATCAACAGCTTACTTAAAACCAAAATTTTTTGTGTTATCTTAATATATAAAAATCCCGTGTCACTGTGTTCGAAACCGCTTTACCGATTTCAATCAAATTTTGTGCGTGTGTATTTTTGGTTCCAAATTAAAAGATACGATAGTTTTAAACACGAGAAAAAATTTTTAATTTTCATCGA